CAGATGTGAACTCAGATTGATCATACAGTAACTGGCTATAGATGGAGATGGTGTCAAAGACTATCATTTGTACTGGTCTACCTTCTCGGATTTCAAACACGCAGATTATTGCACGAAGTTATGTATGAGATGCGTTGGCTGACTAAAAAAGAGGTAGAATTGCCAAGCTTTCCCACTCAGCCGAGCTGGCCGATAATCAAAAATAATTGGCCCAAAGGTTAACTACTGCCCTACCAAAGTGTAGAACAACACTGAGCAATCATCCAAAATGCAATGCACTCAGCCGATTTACACAGTTCTAGTCTAACCCACCAAGTTGTAAAGTACTGGATCCGCTCCAACTCTCTCCTGTTTCTTGACACGCGTTGGGTAATCCCGGCGGACAGCGAGTATAATGAACAGCACCTCTCTTTAAAGCGGTAAATCGCAAAGAGCATGGGAGATGACAGAGATGCCTGGTGGGTGCAACGAGTAAAGGAGATGGAATCAACACCTAGGTGTGGAAACGTAGGGCAGCTGTACCCAAAAGTGCATTGCTGAAACAATTTGCAAAATAGACGGTATGCAAATATACAGTCTTCATCGACGCTTGGAACACTGGGCAGAACACTTCACATTGCAGTTCAACCACCTTCCCCCGCTGGCTACCCAAAGTAGTTTTCTTGAAAGTGCGCCTTGGTCATGGTACCACCTACAGAAGCGGAGATCCAAAAAGTGGTCCAAGCCCTAACGTGCCATAAGACGTCTGGAATAGACGACCTACCGCCGGGACCTTTCAAAGACTGTGGAGAAGTTCTCGCGAGAGTTCGCCAAACTGTCTTTTTATATCTAAAGGGATGAAACTGCACCCCTTGTATAAAGAGAATCGATTGTTAGGTGGGAATGTCAGTTCCAACAGTAGGGATATACGTTTGATTCCAACAGCGCTGAAACTGTTGGCGTCCGTCTTATTAGATAGACTGAGTCGGATTTGGGACAGACAAATCCACGAAGAGCAGGCAAGGCTTTGGGCACACCGTAGTGGTATTGATAAAATTTTCATCCCTTTTCAGCTGCTGGAACACGGCCACGCAACAAACTACTGTCGTATTTTCGGACATAAGAGAGCTCTCCGACTCAATCGCCCTACTTTATGGAAATGGTTACTGAGATACGGAGTATCCAGGTTCCCAGGTACCCAGGGTTTAGATCGTAAAAGCACTTGATCGTCAGACCTCGGGGAAGGATAGCACCTATAAGGAACATTCATCCTCGTTTCCTCTCCAGTGCGGTACGACAGGGTCGCCCTATCTCCATGATGCACTTCAACTTTGCCATAGATTATGTCCAGTAAAAAGCGTTATTTAACTTAACGAACTCTATCGTTGAACCTTACCCCGGAGACAGAGTCGCAGACTCATGATATGCTGATTATATTGTCTTACTCTATGATAACGCGCCAGACACGCTGAATCGCTTGGTAATTGAGGTAGCTCGCCATGGTACGTGCTTTGCATCTTCAAGGTACAAGGTGCTGCTGCAAGATTTGCAGAAACCTGCTCCCACACTTTTGTTTGGTAATGACACCCTGGACGTAGTCAAGAGCTTTGTTTATCTCGACAGTTGAATAACGGCTGGCTGTGTGAGTGAGATGTTCAAAAGCGTTTTCAAAGCAAGATTGACGTTTGCTAATCTCTGACATTTCCGACACCGGCGCGATTTATTTCTTTCATTGAGAGGGCGTGTGCATAACGCAACGGTACGTACCGTGTTGCTCTACGGCTGCGAAACTCAGTCCCGCTGAGCAGACCATGTCGAACGACCATCTTCTTTCAACAACCATCGTCTGCGTAGCATCGTCCTGTATTATGGTTGTATCGGGTAAGTACCGATGAGTTCAGACGGCGTGTGCTGAAATCATATAGTCTAACAGTGAGTAAAATCATCTCACAAACCTGGCTGAGATAGCTGGGGCGTCTTCGAATACCTGAGCAACGTCAGTCCTACAATGCGTTATTTGCAGATACTGAGCCGAAATGAAAGAAACAGCGAGCTGAGTAAGCTGAAACAGGGCGTACAGAATTGAAAAATGGTGTTTAGATCTGGTTTCCGACGTGGATTCCGGGTTTCCCCCTTAGACCCTAAAGAGTGAGATTGCCGTTGGTTGGAGACATGGTGAAGTTAGACAGTTTCAGCTTGTTGATGCCGTTGTATATGCTACTCCTGTGATGCTCTGTCAACCCACAGTTACTTTAGCCCTGCTTGTGTAAAGATTCACACTATATATATATATCCACTTGCAAACATTACCACCTATAATGCTCAGAAATTAAAGCACTCTAAAAAGCGATGTAAATGTTTCCCCCATTAAAATCACGAAGCCGTATATTTTTCTGCAGGGATAAAAATACTGCTCACAGGCCTAAGAAAATTTCCTGCTTGCCATTCCTGAAATTCGAAGGTGAATATGAAAGTTCCATTTACTAAACATGTTACTTATAAGTAGGCTTTACTATAAAGGCGTAGTTGATGAGCATTCGTCTAGGTAACACACGAGAACGATCAGTGTGAAACTGAGGAATCCGCATTTACACTTCATCCAGACATGACAACAATTCTGCTATAGTTTAATTATCATCCCTAGGAATCAATTAGTTCATCTGATGGTTCGGGAAAAATCCAAACAGGTACAAGCGTTCGGTGAAGAATGTCCTATCCTCAGACTGTTAGTGGCGACGACCATCTACACCGTGGGTTTAAGCGACGGAACCCAACTCCCGTGCGCTGAACTGTTCAACGAACATGAACTAATGAGGCAAAATGAACTTGAAATAACTCAAACAAGTTAAACTTACCTTAGTCAAGTCGTCAAAAAATGTTAAAAGAAACTTCAGGTAACCAACAACCAACTTCTCGCGTAACTGAACCAGACTAAACTGCTCTCGGAAACCAGATCGACTGACAAAGGTGTTTTCCGGACCGAGAAATACCTACAAGATGGACAGAAGTGAAAATGAAACGGATCTGAAAACGAACTGTCTGCTGGTGGATGACTGGAACATTGCAAAGCAGCCGCAGAAAAAGGCCCATTTTGAAGTGTTGAGTACGAAACAAATCAGAACAACAATGTAAACGAACAAACGTAGTCTCCTAGTTCAAATAAAAATTGTGACGTTTGTAGCCTCACTCTATGACTAACAGTTATATACACTAGCATACGCTAGGAGTCTGATTCAGTTACGGTTCGACGCGGTATTCTGCGAACGGACAAGGTGGATTTGATGCGTATTCTGATAGTAGCAACCCGAGTAAGGCAATTTCATTTGACTTNTTGACTTTGACGCCGTATCTTAAATGCGATCATTGGGGACATTCTCTAAGCCAATTTATATACGAGCCTAAGTTCTACACATAAAATGAAAGCAGTATTGGAAAGATAGTGATCTTTGTACCTTTATCATTTTGCAGATTGAAATAAAGCAATTTGGATGCAATGCTAAAAAATCTACATCAACAGACTGATAGTAGTACATCACCAAACACATCAGTTTAAATAGCTTTCAGACCGACAACTATTCATTTCATTGTTTTCTACTCCGTCTGAATAGGAAAACACTGGAACGCTCAAAGGTGGTTAAGCTAGAACATAGTATACGCATATGAATACTTTTAAGATAATTCAAACCCCTCCCGCGTTGGGGATCTCGGGGTCAGTCGAATAGATGGGTGAACACAGTGATTACGCAGAATATCATAAAGAGTGGCACTCGCGTATCCCCGGAATTTCTTCGCAAATTTAGTTCATCTGTACTTTGTGATTAAAGTTTCTATCCAGTTTCCCAATTCATCCTTTAACTCCTCAATCCAAATGGGTAGCCAAAAAAACAGCAACCACAACCGCAGAACGAAAGTGTACGATGGTTGTTGAAACTGAAACTGAACTTACGAGTAAGGTAGAGATCACTTACTTCGAGTGCCTTGATTCGCTCGCGCAGTTGGGAAGCCAACGAACTGTTCAAATTCTCAGAAAGAACAGATAACTGAGAACCGGTTGCATCAGACCTGCATGTGTGGGATACAAACTGTGAATATTAAGCACAAAGTGTCAGGTTAATTGATGATGCCGGGATAAAAATGAGCAATAAATCGAGGACCGAAAATGCGTAAGAAAAACAATTGTTCCCAACAGCCGCAATCAATAATTTTAGTTAGGGTTTATATCTCAGACAGAGAGCGGACAGCCAACATCTATCATTGAAACCGAGTTCTGTGCGGTCAAAGCAAACCAACACAAACTTGAAAGAATCCATTCTATTATCCGCAGGCATCAGGCACTGTTGATGCTCTTGGGTATGGATTTCAATCCTTGGAAGATCGTTAATTCCCCACTAGTTGAACGCATTTATAAGCGATAGAAAAAATGTGCTACTCTTAATTGCTTGGACCATTCACACAAGGTGATGACCGTCGACTGTATAACTCAAGGATAAGGGTTTGAAGTCCCGATAAAAAAGTACGCACTACCGACGAGTCCTGGACAGGACGAAACAGGTATCCAGTGCTCTCTGTCGATCATCACAAATCTTTCTGTCGCTTACAAATGCAACCGGACACTCTTGATGGAAATCCTAAAACGTGACAGCTTTTGGAGGACTTAAAAGTGTGATACTGGGCCCTTGATGGGATCCATATCCGAAGTGGGAGACAATTAAGACAGAGTTATGTGCACAGTTCGCCTTTCCCCTCATCCTCTAGCAAACGCTCGTAATAAGTCATATATATA